CCCGTCAATATTGCTTAGTAGCCCTCATTAAGGTTGTATCGTTAATAATATTATAATGTACATTCTATAATCAAATTATCTAATAAATATAATATTATGCTGTATATATGTACTGGCATCAAAATCTTCTATAGGTTGTAATGTAATATTAATATTACCAACAAATTCAATATGAGTAGGTATACTTGATGTATAAGAATATCAAATATGATAGTTGGATATTAAATATTAATTTTAACTTAGACTCTAATATTATTTCATACAGTTTGAGACGGTTTGGCAGTCTGGATATTGTATATTTTTATTATTTATTATAGCCTGTAAGTTGAATATTATTATTAGATTCTGAGCGGCGCGAGGAAGCCGGTGGTTTTACATTGGTGTTTATTTTTTTTTTGTATTCTGTATACAACATATTCTACCAGAAGGAGGGCTTCGATTTAAACATAATATAGTATCTTATCTTTTTAGAAAATTGGATCAAGATGGTACTTTAGAGTGGTAATTTTTCGACTTTCTCAATAGTTATTTAATGACACAGGAAAAACCACCGACAAATTACAAATAGACATATTGCTCAACTAAGGAGGCTGGATCGAGTAGTGGAGTGGCTATGCACTCTCAATAGCCTCCCTCCCTCTTAAATAAATTATTCTCTGAACTCACTAAAGTTAATAAATAAAAAATCGTTTCTATGATGATAAGCAAAGCGTTGTCAAAAATGCTTATAAAAAAAAGTTGTAAATATATATTTTTAATTTTTTTCAACTGCTATTTAAGCAATATATCAGGAGCCTTGTATATTAAAATTTCAATCTTCTTTACTCAATAAATAAAATTGTATTGATATACATAAAAAAAAAACTTTAAAAAATTGGAAACTCAAAATGTCCGTAAAAACCAAAAAACCAAAATTGATTTTGCTTCAAAATTCCCGTTTTTCCTTCATTTTTCTTTTCTTTTTCCCTGCGCTTCGGAAAACTATTTGGAATTTTTTACTTTTGTCCCCTCAAAGTACCAACTAGATTAATTTTCCTATCAGAAAAGATACCATTGAAGAAAATATAAGCATTTTAATTGTCCTAAAAGGTGATGATAGACACAAAAAAATATTTAAAAAAAACACACATAACATTGTAAAATTAATACATTTGCATCGCTCCGCTCAGAATCTAAAACATGATCTTAATATCTTATGGTATATCGTAATCTAAATTTTTACAAAATATCAACATTTACAACAATAATTTATTATCTTGCTATAAAATCAAAAAATAAATAGGTACCATAAGATAATAATATTGATTTTTGCAGAAACGTATTTTTATGAAATTTTACTTTAAATTATGTTGTTTTTTTTTAATACAAAAATTAATTTATTGCATTGATGAGCGTCGTGCTCATCACCATCATACTCGAGTAGTCGAACAGTATTATAATTTATAACCAGGGCCGTATTTAGGGATTTTTCGCCCCCGGGCACAATATTTATGGCGCCCCTTTCCAACACATTTTTTTTAATACCATAGAAGTGGTGGCTAAATTTTATTTTTTTTTTTTGGGGGGGGGGGCATAACATTAATTCATTTTTGATGTTTCCCTTTCTCATTGAAATTTAATTTGCAGTTAATTTTTAGCAATTTTAACTAGGTACCTATGCATTCCAATATTAGATTTTTAATAGTAGGTAAACTATACAAAAAAAACATAAGTAACTAGTTTATAACTTAGGTCTTAGGTACTATCTACCTAGAATCTTCCATGATTCAAATAATAAAGAATGATATAAAATTAATAATATGTACTATAATATAGTAATATAATAATATTTATTGTTTATTTTACAATTTTTTTCTTGATTGAATATCAGCAAAATGATCTATAATATCTTCATATTTAATTTGTTTTGTTATTTCTGATTCAATATTTAATATTGCATATGAGTTTAATCTCTCTTTAGAAATTGTTGACCTTAGGTATGTTTTTATTCAGCGTAAAGTTTAAAATGACCGTTCAGCAGTACAGTTTGAACAGGGAGTAGGTACATAAAAACATGTGTAAAGCAAAGCAATACTAACACACGGGTAAATGTCTTCTGATCCTTCTATTTTTAACATAGAATTCATATCAATTATAGTTCATGGAGAATTTTTCATACTTTGAATATAACTTTGAAAATGAACACATTCGTTAATAAATGTTACATCCAAATCTTTTGTATACATTGAGCACAAATGTTCAGCTAAAACACGTATGGTGGTTTTATCTTTGTGAGTCTTAAAAAAAAACTTCACTTTGTTATGACATTATCGTAAGCTAACTTTCGACTTGTTAATTCTTCTATTATAGAATCACAAATCACTAAATATGTGTTTACTTTGAATTCCAAACTATGGTTTCTACTTTCTCACTATGCTCTTCTCTTTTAAGTTTAAACATGGTATTTATTTCGTTTGTTTTTCTTATAACTTCATTAGGTTTTTCCTTCTTTTTTTTTGCCTCCTTACCATTGCATACACCATTAGCTTTGACTCTTTTTAGCTCCATTAAAGTATAATTTCAACTAAAAAATTGTTATGACACAATTAAACTTATCTAGTCTTACTTATTAATTATTATTTACCTACTTGCCACTATGGCTAAATTACTGCATTCAATTCATATGTATAATGTATAAATATATAAACATATAAATATATCCAATAATTGTATGCAGATTTGCAATGTAATTTAAGTGAACCTAAACTGTGTAATTGCAGTGTACCTACCTTAACTGGCACAACCTTACAATATCAAATATAAAGTTGAAAGTTTTAATATTATTATAAATAATATAGTAATAATAATAATATTTTATTTTATATAACAATTCAAAAAAAAGTAAACTCTTATTTCTATTATATTAGTTCACTTATTGAGATTTAAATAATGCAGGTACGGTACGGAGTACGTAGTCACTGCAGTGGCGTATTTACGGGGGGGGGTCCATGGGGTTCGGACCCCTCCCATTGACTCGTGTCTCGTACATGTTAAATGTTGTGCAGTTTTTACATGATTAAAAAACAAATTTTATCATACGATTTTACGGAAAAAAATTTTCGAAGCTATAGTTATATCAACATTTTCAATAAATATCGTGATTATTTTTATCAGTTGGGTACCGAAAATGGTTGAAAAATACCAAATTCATTTTTTAATTCAGATATTTTGTAGTTTTGTACATTGCCAGTATCTACAACCCCTCCAGAGAGATCTTTTTCAAACTTTTTAAGGTTGAAAAGCTATCTTAGATCAACTATGAATGAAGTAGGTACCTAATGTACCTAATTAAGGAAATATTTATATACAAGTTATAACTTATAACATATAACTATATATTTGATTCTGAGGGATCTATTGGTTCTACAATGGTGTTTACTTTTTTTCCTGTATACAAAATTTCTTCCAGAAGGAGTGCTTCGATTTCAACATGTATAGACATATAGTAACTTATCTTTTAGAAAATTGGATCAAGATAGTACTTTAGAGAGGTCATTTTTCGATTTTCTCAATAGTTATTTAATGCCACTGTAAAAACCACCAAAAAATTACGAAAAACCGCTAAAAATGGGATTTTAATTTTTAACACTTTGTCTATCACCATAGAAAAAAATAAAAAATAAAAGTATTTCATTATTAATTCAACTTACAGGCTATAATAAATAATAACAATATAAAATATCCAGACTGACAAACCGTCTTCGCTCAGAATCGTTTTTCTCATACAATGATATTATGATATTATATCATTGAGTCATTGAGTTCAAGTTTAATACAATCCATTATGCATTGACCCACTTGTAACCTACTGTACAGCAGCAGTGACATCCACTCACCCGCTTTTTTTTAAATTTGTTTTGTACATATTATTATTTAATAATTAAAAACTCGACAATTTTATATCGTCTTATAAATATGGTATATTTTATTTAATAAAGAGTAAATGGGTGGTGTGGGGGGCTTCGTCCCCCGTGGCTCTGTGTTCTGAAAATTATCTGGACCCTCCCCATGACAAATTCCTAAATACGCCACTGAGTCACTGGACACTGACATATAGTTTAGCAAGTTGTATAATATGAAATGACACAAACGTATTTTAGTAGCCAGTAAATAAGTACAATCGATAATCCTGATTTGCCAATACGGGCCAACGCAGTTATACTATACGTCTAGTTTTACAGTTTACTAGTAAAAATAAACCCACTAATATTTAATAATGTTAGGTACCTACCTATTACCTACTTAGTTAATAACGTTTATTTCTCTTTATTTAAAATGATAAAATATAGGTAAAAAAAAATGTATGCATATGTGAATTTAAAAAATAAATAATTATAAAATATATCATTTTTTAGAAATCTTTCTCTTTACGAAAAAAATTAATTTTTTGTTTATTTTATCTGAGATAATTTTGCCGCCCCCGGGCAATTGCCCACCGGTTCCCCCCCTTAAAACCGGCCCTGCGTATAAATAATACTATAATAGTAAATACTATTATAATAATATGATATGGGAGGGTAGTAATTTTTGGTGAGGAAATTATCAGTTCGATCAATACTTAAATTGTGTGTTGTAACACACCAACATCTAGGTTTGTTCTTAAAATAGTTTCTGAGTAGAAAGTATTATAAAATATTCAAAATATTAATTGGTGGGATTTACAAAAAGTTGAAAATTAGCGCTATCTATCAATTGCGTTATTAGTTATCGGAAACAAAATCCGATATTATGTTTTTCTTCACATAATTCATAATACTTATTCTGATAGGGCAACTCTGGATTATAATATATTATCTTGTTATATTCTGTGATTATATCAAAACTCAAAAGCCGATGGAAAATTCTCTGATGTTAAACATTTAAGTTATTCGTGGAAACGTACGATTTTCTATTCTGCGTTGTTGAATCTCTTCTTATTGAACTTTAGTGTAATTATCTGTCCACAATTATCCACTGTGACCATGTCAAGACAGAACACAAGATTAGACGTTAAGAAAGTTGTAAGTACCTATTAATTGTTTCTTGTGATACCAAATTATTTTCGTTTTAAAATTTGATGTTACTTATATTATTATAACTTACATTAAATTACAACTCAAGTAATATTACTACTTATCTTATTGTTAGCTAATAACGTTAAAAAATGGTATTATTCAAATATCGAACATCTCATAGTATGGGAACAAAAGTGAAACAAATTTTAATTCAACTCGTCCTCAGTATACGTGTTTCAATGTTTGCAGTTAAAACAATTTTATTTCTAAATTGTTTTACCTGAAATATGTATGTTTACTGATATATTTTTTATCCACAACCAGGAGTACTGACCTATATAATTTATTTTTTACTGCACCTTGCTGTTTAATATCCATACAAATTAAACCGTTTTAACTCCATAATATAAACCCAGTAATTGTTATAGTCATAACTATGACCTGCGCGCAGCAAACCTGTTTTAGTACCCCGCCCGGGTACGTTCTTATTTTGTACGGAGTATACAACCGGCAATACCGGTAGTAAATTTTAGGTACCATCCTATTATACATTTTCAAGATTTAGAAATATTTATGATTTTTTTTTAATTTTGAACACAGGTAAATGCAATGTTTTACAGAAAACTTAACTATTAGTATAAAAATCTTAGATAGACACTTTATTGTATTATTTATTTATACTTAATACCATTGATTTTAGAATAAACAAGAATCTATTCTATAATCAATATTAATATTTAATACTAATACAGTATACTTCTTTGTATAGCAGGGACACTGTACTTGTTTGTATGTTTGTATGTTTATTAATACATTATTTAACAAAATTTTTTCAGAATTCTGAGTTATTTACGTTAACTTATGGAGCCATAGTATCTCAATTAATGAAAGACTATGAAAATGTTGAGGATGTAAACAAACAGTTAGATCGAATGGGTTATAATATTGGTGTCCGTATGGTTGAAGATTTTTTAGCACGTACTAATGCTGGAAGATGTTATGACTTAAGAGAAACCGCAGATAAAATTCAGGTTAGAATTCTATATCCCTATTACCTATATTTTGAAACATTTTATATCCGGATTATTAGACTTTGAACTTTGAAGTATTCTAAATTTATCATAATCTTTTTATTTTAGTATGCATTTAAAATGTATTTGGGTATAACTCCGGCTTTAACTAATTGGAGTGCTGCTGGAGATGAGTTTTCCTTAACATTTGACACTAATCCACTAACAGAATTTGTGGAACTACCAGATAACTATCAAAATCTCAAATATAGCAATATACTTTGTGGAGCCTTAAGAGGATCGTGTGAAATGGTATTTATGATATAATGTTTAAAATAGGCCTGCGTGGTACAATAAAAAATAATTATAGGTTAGATACTTGGTAGTTGATTTTTAATGTTTTGATTTTTATGACAAAAAATTAAATTGGGAGTTACTATACTAGTATAAAAAATAAAATAGATTCAAATATACTTATTATTTGTGACAGTTGAAGAAATTTTGTATAAATAATAAGACTAATGTCATGAAAATAATTTCACAATTGAGTAAAATACTACTTAGAAGCCATTTAGAACTTAGTACAAAATATTATTCTACATCAGAATTATTACAGTTATACAAAATAATTTTTCTTTATATTATTAAACTGTATGAAAATATGTTATTAATATTATTTTCTAGAGCTTTATTGTGTTGAGTATAAATACAATTTATATTTTGGCAATACTAATTAATGTTCAAATAGTTTTTGTACATACAAAATATAATAAGTATTTTAATTAGTTGTTATGTGTTTAGGTACAAATGGATGTGTCTTGTTGGTTTGTGCAAGATCAACTTAAAGGCGATTTGGCCACTGAATTGCGAATAAAGTTCAACAAACGGCTAGAAGACGCTATACCTGCTGGAGAAGACTAATCTGACTCTGACTTATCTGTAAATTAAATAATTATTATAATATATTATGTTTTATTTTATTTTCTACTTTATAATATTATCTCATATATTTGTTATCATATAAAAAATAAATAGTATATAAAATTACCTTTATTTTCATTATTTGTAGTTTGATTATTTGATGACATTTCATCATCACTTTCACCACCGCTTTTAGTTTTTACTGAGTCACTATCAGATTCATGAGCATCATTCTTTTCAGTACTACCAGTAGCTATTAAATATGTCTCCCATTTCTTTAAGCGTTCTTCGGTTTCTTCAGGCGTTTCAATGACTCTAAAAAGTAAAAAGGAAAATATATATGAGTATAAATTATAATTAAAAATTAATTTATTTTAATTATTTAAATTTATTATACACACTTGTATTTAGTTTTCCCATCCCATGTTTCAGCAGTAATCTTTCTTTGTCCAAACCACCGATTATTTAATAGTAGCACACAAGCATCAGCTGCATCAGGTTCCTTGAAATTAATTTGAGCAACACCCTCTGGATGTCTCTTAAAAAATAAACAGCATATAGTTAAGAATTATATTTATAAACAAAAAGTTTGAAAACATCTCATCAGTCACTGCTGGAAATAGGGGAAGAGCTAGAAACAATAATGAACAGCTGTCAGCTGGGCCTTGTAAGAAAAATTGCGCCTAAAAATTAAATACGGTTAAATATTTTCCGCCAGTGGTAAAAAAGTTAATTTATTTTATAATTTCTATAGAATCTAGATATTATTATAATATCTTCTTTATCATTATGTCTATCTTCTTTATTTGATTGAATATAACACGTATCATGTATAACGGGTATAATTTATGTTTTGATAAAACTATGATTAATAGATTAGGTTAATATTCGAATTTCACATTAAAACTTGGGATCAGGTAAAAATGTAACATAGGTACCTCTAATTATAGCAGTTTAAATAAAAAAGAAAACTGACAATTCATTATAATATTATAGTATACACTTACATCATACACAACTACTTTTTTCACTATACCACATTTTGAGCACTCTTCCCTGAGATCTCTTTGGTATTCTAAAAGTAATGATACATCGTTGTCAAATGTTTCTTTTTCAAATAAATTTTTAACAATCACAACATTTTCATGTTTTCCTCTTCCGCCAATAATTTTATCAGGCCTCCAATCGAATAACCTTAAAGAAAACAAATAAATGGATTGTAAGAACTAATAATAAATATACATAAATTATAATTTATCATAGTAAAATGGAAAACATTAGGTACTTTTCTTGAATTTTTTTTATCTTTTCTTTATCTTTACGCTTTTTCTTTTTTGGTTTTAATGATGGGTCATATTTTTCTCCACGCATTGTAAATTTCGCCTTTTCCACACTGATCTCTTTATCTCGAAATATGTAACCATCCAACAACTTTAATGCTAGATCTACTGATTCTATCTGAAAATGAATAACGAAAAACAATAAAAATCATGATCATAATGAAAAAAACCACTGTTATTTAATAGTTGAGCTGTTGAGCAACGTGTTTTCCTCCTATAAAGCCATAAGTTATAAATGGCGTCATTGAAATTTAAAAGCTTAAGGTCAACTTATTGAATTTGTCATGTTATTTTCTGTTAATAGTGGACATTAATGATGCCATCATGTATAAACGCAATGAATAATAAGTTATTAGTTAGGTATTTCGTTCATATACGATATGGCATCATAAGACTAATAATATATGAATTAATAATTATGATTAACATTAGAACTTGTATAAAATAATTAATAACCTCATAACTTGAATATATTGATGTATGATTGATAGAAATAATTGTAGGCCTGAGAGACGTACGAGGCCCTAAATAAAATAAAGAAAACAATAATTGACCTTGTCATTCTATACAGAATACGACTAGCAACTGCAGTGGCGTAATTTCAGTATATTTCAGACTAAGACATAGATACTTATTTCTGGATTAAGCTTTAACTGGGAAAATTTAAGACATTTAAAGTTCAAATTAGGTACCTAAGTTATTTACTTGAGAATTAAAATGCTGCCTTTTGCAAAAAAGGCTGAGGTACAAGATTATGGAAAATACAATACGAGTTTCCCCTCACGACAAAAATAAAACACCACTGGATTATAATATAATTAGTTTAGGTACCAATATATTAATATGAAAGTTTATCTTAACGTAGTAGGTAAATTAATATTTAATTTTATGCAATCAATGGCTATATACAAAGTTTACCTGTTACCAATTTAAGATTCTTACATTCATACAAGCGCAAATGCAAAACCACAAAATATGTGTCCACATTTAAGAACTAAATAGTAAATAGTACTATTTTTTTTATGAATACAATTGTCTACCTACTCATTACTTCTAAAACTGTAAAAGTTTAAATTTAAATTTAAAAAAGGTGGGAAAGTGGGTGTCGCACTGATGTACAGTAGGTTACAAGTGGGTCACTGTAATGGATTGTGTTAAATTTGAATTCAATGATATAATATATTTTATTGCATACGAAAAACGATTCTGAGAGAAGCCTATGATATATTACTAAATATATTTGATGATATTATTATGAATAAAGTAATTTATTTACCTATTTACGTGGAATCTTGTTTAAAATTGTCAATCCTTAACTATGAAAGTCGAACATTTTATCATTTTTTAACTACAAATCATTTTAAAATTTAAAATTTGATACATTTTGTCAACATTTAAATGCTTATAAAAAACTGTGTGCCTGTGTATTTTTAATATTTTGAAACCGGTATTACAACGATATAACCTTGTATTAAATTTTCAAGCTTTTTGGCCGAACAAATAAAATTTTATTGATATTCATAGAAAAAAACTAAAAAAATTGAAAATTAGAAACATCCGCAAACAGCTCAAAACGAGTCAAATAGTTTTCAAAATGTTATATCAAGTATAGGAATTGTTAAAATAAACATATAGTGTACATTTCAAGTATTTACAGTTATTCGTTGTTGAATTACAGAAAAATAAGAAAATCGCTAGGTACATGAGAAATCTAGTAAATATCCAATGTTGAATAAATTTAAACTTCAGTTCAAAAAAATTTATTTTTCAGGTAGAAATTTTTTTTTTTTTGATAAAGGAAAACAAACGTATGAGGAATCTTGTATTATATTTTAAAGCTTTTTGACCCAACGAATAAAATTTAATTGACATTTATACAAAAAAAAAATAAAATTTGGAAACTGAAAATGTCCGTAAATCACTCAAAACTTTTTGAAAATTGTATCATGTACCTACATAAAATACTAATATAAACATTCAGTGAAAATTGCATGTATGTACGGATATTTGTTTTACACCAAAAACCAAAATCGATTTTGTTGAAAACTAAATTTGCGTAAAAATTCCCGTTTTTCCTTTTTTTTTTTTCCCGACGCTTTTGAAAACTACTGAAAAATTTTTACTTTTGATTCCCCAAAGTATCAACTAGATTCACGTATCAAAAAAATATTGTTGTAAAAAATCGAAGTATTTTTACTGTCCTAAAAGGTGATGACAGACACAAAAAAAAAAACACACATACTGGCCATTGTATAAAATCAATACATTGCTCCGCTTAGAATCTAAAATGTGTACAGATATTTTTTATCCCGCGATTCGCTTTATACACGAGTATTGTACTCAGTACTGTACTTACGACTACGATGTATATGTCTACCATATACGAATATGAAACATAATAATATATATTTATTAAAACACACTTGTCACTCACACACCCATAATAATTGCATGTTAAACTAATATAATATGTAGTATAATGTATTAATGTCGTAGTATGTACCTACCTACGTAATATGTATAATATATAGGTACATTGTAATTTGTATTGGCGTATTGATAAAATGCTATGTAGTAATAATGCTTTCCAAGATGTTTAAATTGCTGCAATAGTAATAACAACTACAATATTAATCATTGTAATCATAAAAACTATTTATTTTATATAGTTATTATTAAGTTAATAATAATAAATTTAGCTGCTGTAGACTAACAAAAAAAATGGCTTCAAAAAACCATTCGGGTTCGTGAATTGAAAAGGAGAAAGAAAAAAATGAAACGAAAAGTTGTCAACAAATACCGCGAATCGACTAATTCAAAATTGAAAATGTCATCACATATTTGTTTTGTTGATGGGAGGCGCAATAACATAATATGATTTGCCAGGGCACCAACCAACCTAAATGTGACCAAACTCCCTCTATATGCCTAGAGATCCACGCAAGACACTCATTATTTCAAAATCTATTTGCGTTATTCAAACATAATTTAAGTTGTTAAAAAAACAACATTCTTTAAAAAAATAAATTTTTACCATTTTTAAATTTTAAATTTTAAACACTATTATGAGTTATAACTTATAAGTTAACTAATTAACTACTTGTCCAAAATTTTATTTTTATAGATCGGAATACTCCGAATAGTATTCAACTAAGGAGAATAAAATAAAAATTTAAATCGTGATTTAAAAGAGTAAAAAACTTCCGTATAGAAATGGAGTACATATTGACACATCAGACATTGACATTGTACATCCATCCAGTTCCAGTATTCCGAGGGTAACGACACGAGACAAGGAATATTGTCCAACTCACAGTCCAGTCTATTCTATACTTGTTTGTATAACTATACACAACCTACCCAACTGCTTACGGACAAAAAACATTTGAAAAATTTTGAAATTTTCGACGAATTATACTATAATATAACAAATGATAAGTATATTATATAATTAATAAATCATTCATTTTATAATTATATTCACGTATATTGTATATTATAGTTATGTATATTAGGCTTATACTATACTATTAATGTAAAGGTTCTCTAAAGCACCTATATTATATTACTAAAGTAAATTGATTTGTATTTTGTTTTTTTTACGTAATCATCAATATTCAATATCGCTTTTTTAGGTTTTTAATGTTTGCGCCCCATAGAGTTTATAAGTAGGTATCATAAATTCTGCTATTTAAGCATGCGCAATTATAATTTTTACATTTAATATCAAGGTAGGAAATAACAATAGACACAAAAGCTTTCGAGGAGTGGTAATTTAGATTAAAACATTTTAACAATGAATAGTTTTTGATGATAATAATTATTTCAGGAAGGGCGTTAACTTGCAAATTATATTGGTTTTTTTTTAGGAGTGTCTTGGGGAAAAATGTCTGAGAATCATACCAACTATCATCGATAATTGGTAAATATCAAACATTTAATATTATTACATTGGTAATACCTATATTTATGAAAAATCAACGGCATAATAAAAATATATTTACGCACTACATAGGTATGTTATAAAATAGGTAACCGGGTACAATCGATTTAACTTATGTTTCAATACGATTCTGACTAAAAAAAATTAAAAACATATTATTTCGTCAACTTAAATATCATAAATAATTGTTAGTTAAGTGAAGCAGATATAATAATATGTTGAACATATTTTTTTTCATATTATAAATTCGATAATATTGAAAATAGGTATCGATGAAATAATGGTTAATTATAGCTTAAAATATTAGAACAACTATTTTCAATGTCATGTTATTAAAATTGATAAATATCTATAGTTATTAGAGCATAAAAAGTAATACCTATACTAAAATCGTTAACCATTATTTTTTTATGGATATATTTAATATGTAATGTCTGTGATAAATTAAGTTATAAAAAGCAACCTATAAGATTAAAATTTGTTTTACCTTTGTTTTATTTAAGACAAAATGCGTAAATAATACAGACGTTAAAATTAGTCAGACAATAAATTAAAAACCCAAGATACCTGCTTCAGTTTTTCATATAAATACTTATTTACATTTAATTCTTTTAAAAGAAAAATTAAAATATTAAAATTATAAGAAGTATCAAGTATACATTATACATATCTTAGAAAAATAGATATTCCTAATATAATAAAATACAATATACATATTAGACATGTAAAAGAACCTTATTAATAAATAATAATATAAAATAAACATCAAAATTATTAAGTATTTAAGTATCTATACCAAAACCTAACTAGTTTATTTGAGTAATAATCTTTTTTTTCTGGAATTCATAACGCGATGTTTTATAATTGGCTGGATGAACAAAACTCGCCTGAAGGTTGAATAATGAATAAAAATCGTAATACTGGGGAGTCTATAAAAACATTTTAGTATTAAAGTGTAACTGATCTAGTAAAGATCAAAGTTTCTGAACATTTTTTTTTTTGTGTTGTTTTTTTCAAACTAAAAATGAATTTTAAAATATTAGCTGAGTTAAAAAATGTTTATCTTTATTTAATATTAATTGGTATGTTCAAATAACATGAACAATATTTACATACTTGCCATAGCTTGAATAAATTTATTTTTTACTTTACAGTTGCATTTTATACGTGTGAAT